AGCAATTCAACAGGTGTGGCCTGGAGGGGGGGCGGGAACTCGGACACCTGCCTGGTTAAACCTCCGAGAAAATTGACTATGGGTCCACGAGAAAGTGCAGGCCTTCCCTCCTGTCAATACTTAATTTTTCTTTATTCTTTCTTTCTTTCTTATTTGTTTTTAGTACAGTATTGTATTTGTTATGGATTGTTTATGTAAAATCTCTGTGTTTTTATTGTATATATGTTCATTGGAAGCCGCCCAAAGTGGTCGAATAGACCAGATGTGCGGGATATAAATCAAATCAAATCAAAAAAATAAATCCGTTCATCTAAAAGGTGCCACACAATATATTTTTTAGAAGATTGAGAAGATTTCGGGGTTGAACCAAAGACTGGGATCATTGAAACACCTTTTTTATGTATACCGTTTCCCCTAAAACAAGACCTAACCTGAAAATAAGCCCTAGTGTGATTTTTTTTCATGATGCTCATAATATAAGCCCTACCCCATAAATAAGCCCCAGTTCAGTGAAACCCCACCTTCCACCCTTGTGCAGCAACCAGAAGATGACAGGACTATATTTGAATATACATGTGAAAAATAAAACATCCCCTGAAAATAAGCCCTAATGCGTTTTTGGAGCAAAAATTAATACAAGACCCTGTCGTATTTTCGGGGAAACAGGGTATGTTGTGTGTGTTTTTAATCCTCTCCAATGTTCTCTTCCCTATTTCTGTCCTCACAACGTACCTGCAAGGTAGGATCAGGAAGAGGGAGGCCAGCGCCTAAAATCTTCATTCAGGCTACCTCCCTGTGCCCAGTTTGAACTCACTCCCCCCTTGAACTCACCCGGGCTTCCTTCACCTGTCTGGTTCTTGAAGAAAGAGTCCACGAAGGCACACCGTCTGGCAGCATGTTGGCAAAAGAAAGGGGAGAGAAAAGGGGAACCCCCAAAAATCTTACAGTTCTTTCAAAATCTACAAAAATAATTTGGTTGAAATGTGGTGCTGGAGGAGAGCTTTGTGGATCTCCCCGCACTGCCAGAGAGACAAGCCAGTGGGTCTGAGATCAAATCCAGCCCGAACTCTCTCTGGAGGTAAAACTGATGAAAACTGAGGCTGTCCTCCTTTGGGCCCATCCTGAGAAGGCAGGGTTCTCTGGAAAAGACCATCATGCTGGGAAAGTGGAAGGCAGCAGGAAAAGAGGAGGAACAAATATGAGATAGACTTATCCGTAAAGGAAACCACAGGTTTGCATCTACAAGAACTGAGCAGAGCTGTTAAGGACGGACCATTTTGGAGATCACTGATTGATAGGGTGGCCATGAGTTGGGAGGTGACTTGACAGCACACTACAGAAATATTTTATTTTAGTTTTTAATATTTATTAAATTTTCACTGAGTCAGAGAAGATCATAGGTAAGGGGATTCGGAAAGGGATAAAAACAGATTAAAATACAGAATGTGGCAGAGAACAATTTATATCATTATTACTTTTACCTCTTTGTCCTTTAATACTGTACAGTACTTCAGTTTAAAATATCCATCTCTGCTACTTCAAAAACTTTCTCTATTAATTCCTGGATTGTTAGTATCTCCTCACTTTTCCAGTATTTTGCATCTAAAATTCTTCCTGCTGTATTTATATCCTGTTTCCCTGAAAATAAGAAGGGGTCTTATATTAATTTTTGCTCAAAAACCACAATAGGGCTTATTTTCAGGGGATGCTTAATTTTTTTCATGTACAACAATCTACATTTATTCAAATACTGTACAGTCATGTCATCTTCTGGTTGCTGCACAAGGGTGGAGGGAGGGGTTTCACTTAACTAGGGGTTATTTTTGGGGTAGGGCTTATATTACGAGCATCCTGAACTAGAGGTTATTTTCAGGTTGGGACTTATTTTGGGGAAAATGGTATGTATGATCAAGTATATATATAGGTTAGGTCTTATTTTGGGGGAAATGGTATGTATGATCAAGTATATATATTTTTTCTTTTTCTATTGTATGTGGTACAGTACTATATTCTACAAAAACAGTTCAGGTTTGTATGGGATTGTACAAGATAACATTTTTGTAAGATCTCATTCATGAACTGTTTCCAAAAGCTTTTAACTTCTGCAAGAACTGAGCAGAGCTGTTAAGGACAGAACGTTTTGGAGATCGCTGATTGATAGAGTGGCTGAAAAGTGTTTTCAAATGTTATTTCAGACTGAGCTTTTCCTGAATTTCTTCACACATAAGACTGCAAGTATATATCCTCTGTGTACCAAGATGTGTGTATGTGTTTGCACACACGCTTGCACACAGACACACCCATTATCAGGGAAAGATACAGTGATTCCTTACCTTTAACACAGGAATGGGACTGTTGCTATGTGTCAAGTTGGAACCAACTTATCGCCTACAGGCTTTAAAGGTGAGATATTTAAGGAGTGGTCTTATCAGTTTCACATCTCATGTATGTTTCCATAGATAAGTGGGGATTTGAACTCAAGCCTCCTGAGTCATACCTATTAGGAATGGGTGAACACAGGTCGGCAGCCTGAATGAAAGGAAATTACAGTTTCAGACCTGACCTTCTCGCTCAGCCTGGTCCTACCTTACAGGTCCGTTGTGAGGACAAAAATAGGATGCAGAACAATCTCATCATTTGAATTTTTAAAAAATAAATGCAATAAATAAATAAGTAAATACAGTGAATACATTTTTTCCAGAAGCCAAATCCCTTCCCATCAACTACACAAAACACACACCCTGGTTAACCAGAATTAAGAGAGGTGTGTGGCTGCGATCCTGTTCTGCCTCCGTTTCCCTGAACGTGACTTCTCGACGCAATGATGAATCTGCCATGTCTACATTTTCTAATAAAACTTCTTTATTGTTGAGCAGTTTCATGAGGTTTTTTTCCCCCAGCCATAACCTCTGTCTCTGATTTCACAGAAACAGCGCCATTTTTCTCTTCTTTAAACAACAATAAGTTATCCTTCTTAGTGAAGGGTGATGATGAATTCGAAACCGGTTTATAATGGTCCAACTCAGACAACAAGTCCCCCTCCCACCCCGGAGAGGTCGCCTTTCTACTTCAGGGTGAAAGATCCGGCCCACTTGTGGCTCCCAAACCTTCTTGCTTGGCGTCGGCCTCAGATTGGGACGAAATGGCCTGGCCCCATGGGGGTGTGTGTCTCCCATCTCTCTCTATTTTGCTTATTTTTTTCCTCACTGAACTGTATATCCACTGTATATCCATGCTTTATATCACTTTCTCTTCTGGCTCACCCCAGTAGGGTGGTTTCCTATAGATCTGCCTTCTCCATGCCTTCTCTGCCTACTCTCGAGGAACTCTTAAGTTCCACCCATGTCTCCTGTACAAAGGGTATTCTTGAACCAAATCGACTCAGTAAATCCTGCTTTTCCTCTCCCTTCCCCATCCAGGACGCTTCCTCTCCTCCGTCCTCTGCTCTCCTTCCCTTCCTTCTCCTTCATTTTTTTCTCCTCCTTATCCCTCCAAAATGGCGGCGCCCCCCCCCCCCCTGTTTCTGTCCCTTGTAAGTCTTTCATCAGGTCTGTCAGCTTTCCCCTCGTGGTCTCCTTTTGAAGAGACCGGCTTAAAGAGACTTTTCTGGGGCTGCCTCTTGAGGTTGGTCTTAGCCTCACACAGTGTGGCGCCCTTCAGAGGAGCACATTTAACACAACATGAACTTTCTTGTGGAGTCAGAAGAATCCACGTCCTTGGGGGGGTGGGAGATGAACCAGACAAGTGCCCTGAGAACCCCAAAGCTATGCCTGTTGAACGTCTGCCTTCTTTTTTCTTGTTCTTTTTTTTTGTTCTCTCTTTCAACCTTCTCCAAAAAAACAGCACTGCACCCTGTTGAAGGAATAGACCAAAAAAACTTTTCTCTTCAGGCAAGCTTTCCCTGAGCGACTGGCTACCTGAAATGGATTCTAAATGGACTGTTGTGCCTTACGGCCTTGAATATCTTTTGGTGTTGCTAATGTATTTGTTTCATCCTTTTGTATTTATAAACTCACTGCAGTTAGCATGAAATACTGTCTTTTAAGAACGTAAGCTGCCTTGGGTCCTTTTTAAGCAGAAAGTCAGGATAATTTTTTTTAAATAAACAGGGTAGTCCTAAATGGGGGTACAGTATTGGAAGCCCTCATAAGCTGCCTTGGGTCCTTTTTAAGCAAAAAGTCAGGATAATTTTTTTAAAAATAAACAGGGTAGTCCGAAATGGGGGTACAGTATTGGAAGCCCTCAAGTTTTGCCATTGGACCCCTCCCTCAATCTATCAGGCACCCTTTTATCCCTTGGGTCTCCAGCTTCATCAGAAAGGTAAATAAGCATAAATAATGTGTGACTGCCCTCCATGGTGGTGGACAGACAGAAGAGGGAGAGAAGGTTGTATGTATTTTGTACCAGCTAGCTTCATTTCTGTGCTAGGTATGGATGTGAGTCAGAAGGCGAGTCGGGGCTGAAGCCGGAAAGGCGCTCCAAGGAGCATATCTTAGAGCAGTTGGTGTGATCGGGTTCTTTGTCAGTATCTGGTAGTTCCTTGTTTTTGGCGGGAAACGACAAGAGAGGAGATTCTTTAAAGCATTCTTTATTATCAAAACTAACTGGGTTTTATACCACAACTTCAATAGGGTCTACAGGTTCAACGTTAACAGGAAAGTTAGCCCACAACAAGGCAATGTCACCTCATAATTGTCCCCTTTTAACGGAAAGATTGCCCGAATCGTTCTTGATCCGTCGGTCTTGTCAGACAGCCACTCCTCACCGCACACATCGTCCCGACGCAGGGATAACGTGACCATTCTCCTTCGGGCAGCTTCTCGTGTGGTTGGCCCGGTCCCGGTCAGATCACCCTCTTCCAAGGACCCCATCCTTGAGGATATACTAAAACTGTCCATTCTTCCGGTCTAAATCCTTCAATAATAGGTTTCCCTTCTTCCCCCTATTTCTCTCTTTACGGTCTCAGCTTTCAAAACCTACCCCCTTCTGTGGGATCTGAAACATTCTAGGTTCCCCTTCTCCTTCCAGCCATTCTTCCTCTAACACCACTATCTTCCTCGTCTCTCTTGACTCTCTTCCCTCCTCCGAAGTTAAGAAAAGGTCTACCCCCTTCTTCTCTCTCTTTCCCGACTCCTTTCCCGCCTTTAACTCTTTCATCTTTGATATAACGTTAACGATCTCTTCCTTTCCAACTTCTCTATCTTTTTCCTCCTCTACAGACGTATGAGGGGACGGCTCACTCTCACTCTTCTCTTTTATCTTCTTGCTCGCCCTGGTCCTCGAGCTGTCCTTGGCTGTCCTGCTGCCGGAAGTCCAGCCACCGGCTCAGGGAATGAGGCCCAGAAACGAGCACCCGGATGGTGGCCTTCCTTGGCTGACAATGTCCTGCTCTGGAGGCTGAGAGTTGGGAGCAGCAGCGAAGATGGCAGGCGGCCCAGACTGGTGAGGTGGAAGGAGATCTGGGAAAGGAAAAAAAAATTCCAACAAATTACCAGCTTCTTGCAACCAGTGCCCTTCAGCCGCGTGGGACTTCTACTCCTATCATTCCAATTGCATGTTGTGTGTGACGGGATCTTGGAGATTTTTCTCTTGCCTCTTTGAGTTCAGACGAATAGTAGTGCAAAGCATTGGTTCCCCCCCCCCCGTGGATGCTGAAAACCACGGATAACAGTGAATGCTATACATAGCATGGTGAAAGAAAAAGAAATCCAGAAATATTTCGCCCTCTAGTGGCCCGTTGTGGTAAAAGTATTTCTACTTTTTTAAAAATACTTTACGTACATTTTTGAACTGTAGATAAGTGAAACCACAGTTACTATCCTACAGATATTTGGGGGGGGGGGCTTTCCTCTTTCTACCTTGCAGTTCTTGCCTTTAGGATGAAAGAGATTCCCCCT